TCGAAATGGTTTTTTTTTGTATTCAGCAAAAATCAAAATAAATAGACAGAAATGTGCAGAATTTCATGCTCTATCTTTCTATTCTATTGAAGATGAGATCTAGGGGGCTGGCAGATTTACGACCTTATCCGGCGGTGTCCTTTTCTTTTTCCTGATTCATATTTATTCAATACTGCATTTCACTCCCATCACTTACATCAATTTTCAAGGTGGTCACTGAAAGAAAAATTTTACGTATCTGAAATATTATTTAAGACTCCTCAGAAAATAGTAGTGCTTCCTCATAGGTAGATGACTAATGACTGGTCATGGTGTTATCGAAAAAAATAAATATCGAGTTATCTTTAATTCGTAACCAATTATAAGAATTCTACAATTACATATTATTTCCAATTTTTAACCGTTTTCGAAAGTTTGTCAACTGATTAATTCGACTAATGAATCTAATAATCATAGAATAATACTTTACAAGATTTTTCTTGACATTTGCGCGATACACTTGCAAATGTCAATCTTTTCTATTGTAACCTATTCTTGGTATAATGTACATAATAACGTATGCAAACAAGTCAAAACACATCGATGAATTTTTTTTAATAAATTAAAATGACTCATCCTCTAGCTTTCATAAATATGGTAAAATGTTTTATCTAATGGTTATTAAGTTATATAGAAACTTCTCATGTGTGATGAAAACTGAAATTCATAATTATTTTTGCTTATTAAACAATATCAATTATTTCTATTTCTTTACTTACCATAGTCAACATTCGTTGTATAGGTGTTTGATCATAACTTGAACCTGAATAAGCAACATTATAATGTTTTAAAAAATATTTATATGATCGATAAAGTTCACGTTCTTCACTAGGAATTCTAACACTAATAAATATTCGAACGAAATCAGGTTTTTTTAATGCTATTGAATATTCAAGTGCATTATAAATATGACCATTAGCATTTATTTTTATTTGAATTATTGCTGCAAAACGTTGTGTATCCGATACAAAATATGATGCTATATCTAATTGATCTTTATCAATAGTTGTTTTTAATGAATCAGCATTTATAAAATCTCCTATATCAATATTTCGATGTAACCATTTACTACTTAATATATATTTAATACATTTTAATGAACCTTTTTCAATTGCAATTATAAATGGGGTTTTACCATTAGCATTTTTTTCAACAAGTCGTTGTAATGCCTAATGAAAAAAAAATATTTAATAAAAATAAATAAATATATATGTTGTGGCCGAAGTTAGAATTCAGCCGAATTCTAAATTCGTCCAGACGAAGTTGGAATTCTAATTTCGACTAGACCAAATTGGAATAATTTTTTAATGAATAGAAAAAAGTAAAATCTTGATAACCATTGA